TTTAAGCATTTTTTTGTTTTGAGCAAGGCGTGAAGCCACTAGGATGCAGGGGTTGCAGAAGATTTGGAGCAAGATCAGATAGGAGTGATAGAGGAAAGGATGAGGAGAGGGATAGTGGATAGATCAAGGCAACTGGAGGTGTCGATTGACATTACATTTGAATAGTTGGAGAATTATAGCTCTCAGGGAAACTGGAATAAGGAAGGGAGTTCCACAGGCGAGAGGTGCGAGACATGAAGCTATTGGAGTAGAAGAGACAGCTACATTTAGGAGTTTTGACAGTGAAAGGGTGAGAGCGGGATGCCAGCCTTGTAGGACGCTTGAATTCATGAAGTCTGGGAATCAGCGAATGCAACTCATCGAAGCAATTGCCATGAAAGTATTTGTAAAACAGACAGAGAGAGGCGATGGCGCGTCTGTGAGAGAGCGACTGTAGACAAGATGCCAGAACAGGGCCAATTATATTGCATATCCGCCTCTGGAGCCTATCAAGAACCCCGAGGCAAACAGAAGGGGCTCCAGACCATATATGGCAGCAATACTCCATGCAAGGGTGAATGGTTGATTTGTAGATCTAGAGGATCGATTCCGGGGAGAAAAATTTCCTGGCGCGGCCCAGGGAGCCAACTTTCCTTGCGGTGGACGAAGCAATTGACTCAATGTATTTGTTCCATCTGCAGAGAGGTGCTCTCAAGAAGTTGAGTGTCAGACATTCTAATGAAGAGCAGGGAAGGATCTCTGTGGTGAGTAATAGAGAGTAGTTTAGTTTTTTATACTTATTATTGCAATATTTGGTTATAGTTCTTAAGCCCAATAGATATTTTATTATCGTAGAACTCACCATGAGCTGATATGATCATTAACTGAAGAAGTACCATATAACAAGAGATAACATGCTTGTACCATAAGCCATTTCTCTGGGTATATCCCAACTGCTACCTTGTACCAATCTCAACTTCATAAATACCTGTCCTTTAACGGAAACATGAATGTTTAACATCATGATATATTGTGACACATCATCTCTACCTGTCTCAGATGCAATTATTATCATCTTGAGGTGTGCAAAAAGCCAATTACTTAGTCATCTGTAAGTTTTCAAATATTTTTATGCTTCATCTTGAAAGAAGACACACAGCTGAACATTTTTGTTGGGGCAACACTTCTTATAAAACTAAAACAATTAATTCAGATTTCTGTGCAGGTGAGGTTCATACAAAGGTGAGAGGTGTGTAACAAATCTAAAAATTGACAAAACAGAGACACAAGCAGTCATAAATTATCTACAAAAGAAAGGTACAACACCCAACGCTGCAATCGATTGAGACTAAGCTCTCAACTAACTCAATTTATCCACCTAATACTTAAAAAATAAAAAAAGCATTGAATTAAAAAGCCTATAACCTGATTTAAATATGCTAAAGTAATTTTTCATTTTTCATAACAAACTTTATGCTGTTTCCTTGCAATCAAAAATTCAAAGATGTTGAAAATATTGCAATATACAGAGTGGCCCCAAAATATTTGGCATCATTTCACAGACCAATAATTTTAGCAATTCTTGTTGAAATAACCTCATATTTTCACAGAATGTATAGAAACAGATCAAGATTTTATATTTAATATTTTAGTTTTGTTATCTCAATGAGAATCTGTCAGAGAGATGGATCGGGCGTTGTTAAGATGAAGACAGTTTTCTAATGAAATGACTGCTGCAGAGTCACCAGACTTGTCCCCACATGATTTCTTTTTATGGGGATATGTGAAGGGCCTGGTCTATGTTTCCCCCTCTTTTGTTAGCATTAATGAACACAAGCAGAGAATCGCTTCTGCACTGGATAATGTTACAGGAGACATGCTACAATGTGTTTGGCAAGAGCTTAAGTACCATCTTGACATGTGCCGTGATACAGGCGGTTCATATATTGAACACTTATGAAATCAGTCCCATAATAAAGTTATGATGTTCTACACCTAAACTGTTTAATTTCATTGAGCTAGACTTAGTAGTTTTTAAGATAATTGCTTTTAAAATGATGTCAAATATTTTGGAACCCCCTGTATTAAAAATTCGTGAGGATACCTGAACAAACATTATAAACTTTTAGCATGGATCTGTTTTTCTTTAAAGGTGGATAATTCTCAAAAAAAAATTACAAACTTACATAGGCAAATTTTTCTGAATATTTAAAAATATACAGCTGATTTTACACTATTTACATTGTTTGGACTGTTGTTCTCATCTTTGTTGTCATATTTACAATGTTTTGACTGTTGTATCATTTGGCCTTCTTCAGGTAATTAGAGTTTTGAACTGAACCCTTATTTTGTCCACTGGGGTAGAGATTGTTTTAGTTCCATGTGCCATGCCACTTCCAGATATCTCAGTTTTCAGTTATTTCCCTTTAGTAACTGTTGTAGAGTAGTTTTCACAGTGAAGGCTTGTATTTCGCTAAGTCGGTCCTAAAAGGGTCCGACGTACAAAACGTTAGGAACTTGAAATAATAGTTAATGACGCAGCAATCTAGTTGTGGTGGTTGATACTTTAATGTCCGACATCGACTGACTCACTCAACTCCACTGAGCCCAACTGGCGACTGCTACTACTACTACTTATTATCTGTGGGAGAGTCTATTACAATAGAATAGGTAATGTTCCCGTATAAAAGGAACTCAACCCTCCAGGTTTTCGTTCACTTCTGCTGTGGCCAGTTATCAAACTCACATTTCTTTGGGTCATGTCATTGGATCATTTCACTTTTATCCACTGGGTCATGTGTCTTTGGGGATAAAAGCATTGGTTGAAGTAATCCAGTGATTTGACTCAAAGAGTTGTGAGTTCAATACCTGGCCACAGCAGAGGTGAACAACAACTTAGAGGGTTGAGGTACTAAAGGATTATAACGGAAACTGAGACATCTGGAAGAGGTATTGTACTAAAACAATCTTCTCTGGCAGATGAAATAAAGGGTTTGTCTTGAAATTTCAATTACCTGACAAAGGCTGGAGCACCCAACAGCTGAAACATCAGGAATATGACAAAAAAGACAAACATGTAAATAGTGTAAACAGCGACAACACAACATCTCAGAAATATAGACAGATACAGTTGATTTTATATGAATATTTTATGTCTTGACTGATCAAAATTTCTGTAACAAGAATCTTAAAAAGGAAACGTTTCCATTTTATGTATTGTTCGCATGTGTTTTTTCAGATGAGAACCTTGTGAAAATCTAGTTTGACAAAATTCACACTGGAAAGGTTTCTCACCTGTGTGTGTTCGCATGTGTTTATATAAACTTGAACTATGGGAGAATCTTTTATCACAAATTTCACATTGGAAGGGTTTTTCTCCTGTATGTGTTCGTAAATGTCGTTTGAGAGAAGACCTATCAGAGAATTTTCTTTCACAAACCTCACATTGAAAAGGTTTCTCTCCTGTATGTGTTCGTATATGCTGTTCAAGATGTGAATATTGGGAAAATCTAGCTTCACAAATCTGACAATGAAATGGTTTTTCTCCTGTGTGTGTTTGTATGTGCTGTTTGAGGGCTGATGTGAGTGAAAACTTTTTGTTGCACACTTCACATTTAAAAGGTTTCTCTCCAGTATGTGTTCGCATGTGTGCACTTATGTTTGAACTGTCATAAAACCTTTTGCCACAAACCTCACAGAAAACAGTTTTTTCTTCAGTGTGTGACTGCATGTGTCTTTTTAAATTTGGAGCCCGTGTAAATGACGCTCCACAAACTCCACAGTGAAAAAATTTTCCTCCATTATTTCTATTTGAATATTTTGCTTGAGCGAAAACTGCCAGCTCATCAGTGTCACCGCAGGAGGATACTTTCATTTTTGGAGAATTCATTTTGCTTGTCCAATAAAAATAAGCTGAAAAAAAAAAAGAAATATACATTTTATTAGGTACCTCAAAAGAAACGCGATACTAAGATTTAAAATACATTTATAAAAATGAAAAATCTTCATTGAAACTTTTATTTTAGTTTTAATTTCAAGCTAAAAGATTAAATTTAATATTTCCAATGAGCAAAATACTTTGCTGTATTTCAAAACTGATTTGAGTGGAAAGGAATTTTTTAAATCACTAAAAAATCACTGATTTAACCCATCTGTCAACACAATGTAATTCTCTTTATTAAAAAAACTTTCAAAAATGAAATATACCTTTCTGAAACCTTATTTCAGTAATATCAGCTTATTTAAAGTTTAATTAATCTTATTTGAAACAAACATTACTTTTAATTTAAAATATCACAGAAATACATTTTCTAAACACTGAGGTATGTGTTTTTATGAGATTTTGACAGCTGACAAACGGAAATTTAAGTCATTTTTTCTATGGGGGACATATCTGTAAAATATATCTGAGAAATATAACGTAGACATCTTTATATAATTTTTAACTACTCAGTAATCTTAAAAATTTAGGAAAATATTTTTTGATTATTTCCTGATAATGTTGTGTTTGGATGTCTGTATTTTTTGTTTGAATGAACTTATTGCAAACTCTATGCAAAGCTTCTTACCTGCAAATTTCCCACTTACAGCATCAAGTTATGTAAATATGTTACATAATCATTTTGAACACCTATGTCACAAGAAAATTTGAATTTAAGTGTTGTACTAGAGGAGTAATCATTTTACTGTTGAAATGGCTGCTAGCTGTAACTGTAAGTTCTATTTTATTGGTTTCTTCTCTCGCACTTCTTGCCTGTGAAAATCTCTTCTAACTTCTTGCTTCCCTGTCAACTACAATCTTCAAAAATTTAAATACAATTTTAATCACTAATTTCTGGTTTCCTTAGCCATGATTTTATTGTCCTTTACTCTTCAATAAAGGTGTTTCATTTTTTTTAACTCTCAATAACCCCTGGTGTCATAGTGGTATTACTACCTTGATTAGGGTGAAAATGATTAAAAAAAAGTATATTATATCCCTTGACATACTTTATTTAATTGACTCTCCTACTTTACTGGCTTATGGCCATATCATGTTGAAACATTGGTTCCCGTATGATCACCGAAGTTAAACAATGTTGAGCCTGGTCACTACCTAGATGGGTGACGACTTGTGAATACCGGATTTGTTAAAGAATCAATTTTCAATACTTGTTGGGGTTTTTATATATGCTTACACAGAAAATACCCTGGGGAAAGGTGTTGGTTACTACCTGATCATTTACCGTACACCATTGAAGCCATCTTGTCCATGTTTATTATCGGTTCCTAGTGCGAATTTGCCAAATATTTCACAATCCCTCTCATTGCCTACTTTAATGTCCCTTTAAATGTTCTGAGATTGAACTATGGTCATTTAATTGAAATGTAAACCTTCTTGTCAACATTGTTGTTGTAAGTACACATATTAATTTATTGGTGGCTGTACAAAATTAATAAAGAAAATTTTCAAAATTTTCTTTCAAATAATTTTTATTTTCCCAAGTACTTTCAATCTCATCTGAAATCCTCTTCAAGGGTTGCGTATCTAATGGATATGTTATGCTTTAAGACCGTAAATTAAATTTAAACAACGTAGAGCCTGGTCGGTCCCTAGATGGGTGACCTCTTGGGAGAACCAGATGCTGTTATGTTGGCTTTGCAGAAAAAATATACTTCAAAATAAGAGAAAGCATATCTTAACAACAGTGACTACTGACAACAGTAAGTGATTATTTCATCGATGTATTGACAGCTAATGTGAGGGGAAGTTATCATATTGAAGAACAGAAGTGATGTAAGTTTTTCTAGTTTAAGATTTTTTTTTCTACTCTAAGTGAACCAACTTATTTACGTAGTAATTTTTAATAAGTAGCAAATACTTACAGCAATCTAATATTTTATTATTTTTTTACTTTTTAGGTAATTTAGCTTTAACCTTTAACTGCTGAGAATGAGAGATAAAATTTCATGAGAGAGGTACCTATAATTTTTATGTACATCGCATGAAATTTTAGGGTATTTTTTTTATTAATTTTTATTTTATCTCTGTTATTTTTATTATTAATATTTATATTATCATTTATAAAAAAAATGTCATAATTGAGATAATACAAAAATAAGACCATGTAAATTTCATCAGGTAGGTACCTAATAATTGTAGGTACCCTTCTCATATTTGAAATGTTATACATTTTTTTAATGTGTTAATTTTTTTTCATATTTTTTAATTATAATTTTTATATGACAGTTTTGAAAATAAACAATTTATTTCAATTAATTATTATTTTTTGTTTACTTTCAAGTAAGTTACTTGGAAGTAAAAATATAATTGATGATTCTCGCTATAAAACAGTACAGAATTCATTTTTGTATTCATAGTTCCTATGGTCATCCATACATTTGAAATAAAACTGTTTGTGATTTGCAAATATTAAATGCTTTAAAATTTGTGATAAAGATAAATCAGGTAATTTGCTTTTTAATTCCTGTGCTAAATATCTATTAAAAATTTCCCAAATAGTTATATTTAGGTGTAAATGTTACAGTTTTTTGTGTATATGTAAGTACATATGTAACTAGTGAGTTAGTCCAAATGCCTTCACTCGCTTTATAGTCTACCAATAGAAGGTTAACCAATCAGAAGACATGGAACATTCAAACTGTCGTGTATAAAGGTGGCTATTTTTGTTTACCCTACCCAAATGACCAGTGCCAACTTGTCAGGCGAAGATGACAGAAGGAAGTACTACGCTCTGCTACTTTGCTGCGATATCCACTGCTAACCTGAACTACGCTTTCCTACTGTCTCCGAAATATTCACTGCTAACCTCTGGATTCTATACTCAAAGACAACCGTCATGAATTTGTAACAGTAAATGTAGATGCTTAATTTGAAAATGAGAAAGAAATTTTGATAAAATCTAGCGTTTTGGAGTTATTGACAATAAAAGTTCAAACTCATTTGTGTTGTGGCAGCCATTATTGGTGTTTGCTGATATTTGCTTTGGAATAGTCTTGATTATTGCGCATGCCTTGAGTCCTCAGTCGTGCAGTAATTGAGTCAAGTAAGAAATGTAAAAACGCCATTAACAAGCAAATGTAATCAGCAGCGGATATATGCAAACAACGCTAGCAATGGCTGCCATGTTGTAGCATGAATGAGTCTGAACTTTTATTGTCGATAACTCCAAAACGGTAGATTTTATCAAAATTTTTGTTATTTTCAAATTAAGCATATACATTTACACTTAAATACAACTATTCGAGAAATTTTTATTAGATATTTAGCATGGGACTTAAAAAGCAAATTACCCGATAAATCTACATGATAACTAACCTTATTGCCTAAATAATTGTTACAATTCAGAGCTGATTTTCGGTAACAAGTGGTTCAATTTAAAGAAAAAGACAAAAAAAACATGATTTAAATTCTTCAAAGATATCTGCTTTTAACTAATCACTAAAATGCTCAGCATGGAATTTCTAGAGTTTTCATAAATTAGTTATGGGGGAGGGTAACAGATATAAAAAAATTACCATAACTTTCAAGAAAAAAGATATTTAAAATAATTTCAATCATTTGTGAATAGTTTCTGAAAGTTTCATTAAAATCTAACAATTTTTTTTTTGCAAGATTTTCAAAATTGATCTCTGCCACTGCAAAAAAAAAAAAATGCTCTAAAATATGCAATGTTATTTTATTTAGTGGTTCCATTGACGTAAAGAGAAACAAGACTTTTTAATAAAAAATTAGGATGTTCTAAAAAGGATGGAAAAATTTTATAAAATAGTCAAAAATACTTTGGTGTTCTGTCTTAATAATAAAACATTTTAACGATAAAACAATACAATTTTCATCAACTTTAAGTTATGCCATGCTCTTTTTTTTTTTGAGAGACTGTGGAATTACCTCTTACTGCACCGGCTCTGATGGGCCTTGTTACTCTTGCCTTGTATGACTTCTGTTTTAGTTTTTGTGATTAGAAAAATATACAGATATACATCCTAACAACAAAGTAAAACACTTTTATGAGTATAAGTATGATTTATTCTTGGAAGGTTTGGCTGTTTGGTTAGATAATGTGGTTGTTGAATGTCCTGGTATTTGTGTTGTCTTGTTGAATGAGTGAATTATTCCATTGTGATAAAGTCTATCATTAAAAGGTCATATTCAATATGAGAAGGTAATATTTGAGTGAAAGTGTAAAAATTATCTTTAGTCTTCATTCCCATTGAGGTCAGTTTGTTGAAAAAGCATCAGATTCTAAATGTTTCTCCAGTACGGCAGTTTCTTTCCTATTTTTTTTTAATTTTTTAACTGGGAAATTTTTTTTTTCTTATTTCTCGTGATCGCGTTATCTCTACAGTATTTAATTTTTTTTTAAAGAATGTTTTAAATAAAATTATTCTTGTAAATAAACAATAATCGTTAATTAATTTATAGTATAAGCACCAAAAGCCCACAGTAATGTAAATTTCACACCAAAATGAAAATTTTAATGATTAAAAGTTTATTAGCGTTTTTTGAGTGTCACTCATTCAAACCTTTACATAGGCAAGACCTGCTTTGCCACATCCACAGGGTTGAATCACCTTTATTGCCTACGTATATCTTTGAAGAAGGACGTTCCATTCAGAAATTATTCTAGTAAATAAAGAATCTAATAAATAAACATATTTTTTGTTGTAAATTCGCAAAAAAAAAAAAATCTTTTTTGTTTATCCCAACTTTTTAAACATTGTCGAAGGTCGTTAAAAAAACGGTGTCAAGGGAAAAACCGTCCTTTTGCTATGACCGCCGCAGACACGTTTATCCATGTTTGCCAAAAATTGAATAAATAAATAAAATAAAAATAAAGGTTGCATTTTGGAATCTGTTTTTCGTTTTATTTCAAATACGTAAACTTTTCAAATCCAAAGGAGAATTTCAGAATATGAGGCAAGTCTTTAAAAAAAAAATATCGTGGGGTGTAAGGGAAGTAAATCAGTTTTTTTGATAGAGAAATCGTTTGAAAAGTTTAACAATATCAAGAAATAAACCAAATTTCAATTCTTATGAAGAGATTTGCAGACAATCTTTGAATTCTTCATCTGTTTTTTATAGAAATCTTAGAAACCAAAGTTTTGATTTTAAAAAAGTGTAGATTTAAAAACTTGTAAAATATCGTAATATTTTTTATTTATGTATTTATTTATTTTTACTTACCTTTTGGATAAAAAAGGTTTTCAGTAGAAATCAGAAGAAAGAGAAATAAAAAAAATATTTCTTCAATTTCGAAATTGTCTGCTTCGGAATTGTTTGTTTTTCTCGTCGTTACGAAATTCGCGCGATTTGATGAAAATTCCTCAAATTTATCAATTAAATAAACAATGTTTTTCATTCTATAAAAGATCCATTTTAAGGGGGGAAAAATACTTCCATTTGACAAAAGAAAAAAAAAATAATAATCAAGCTTCAAAAATTTCTTAGATATTCTTTCATGATGACGAAGCTATGGCCATAGCAGAGCAGTTACCGGTGAAACGCAAAAGTCTGTCCCCTGCGTAAAATATGTCCACCACTAGCCTCGAGAATTAAATTGAAAAGTGTCGGTTTGTGGCGTAATAATTGTGAATTCATTCCCTGGATTAGGTAGAACAGACTCAGACTCAGCGAACACTACGAAAAAAAAAAAAAAAAAAAAATTAGACATGTACACCGAAATGAGAACAATCTACCCTCAGAGATTTAAAATAAAAAGGTTCAGTTTGAAATTTCCTACTCGAATCGACAGACACTTGAAGAAGGCACAACAGCCGAAACGTTACGACAATAAAAATATAGATCAGGACCAGGGCCGGTAAAGGATTTTGTGAGCCCCAACCAAATCTACGATACGGATCCCCACATTCTACTACAACTCAATTTTCATAAGGTAGTATTCAAAATACAAATTTTTATTCTAACCTAATTATGTACAATAATGGATCATATGCAATATAGGTGAAGAATTCAACTAGGAAAATTGAAAATAAATACAATGTATCTAAATCAGGCATGTCCAAAGTCCACACCAGGGGTCAATTATGACCCACATTCAAATTTCATATGGCCGCCATCCTTTGTCATAGAATGTATCACTTACGGCCCCCAACAGTATTG